CTTCATTGGATCTCCAAAACTCAACATTACCCCTTTCCAGATAATAGGACTTGCATATTCCATTTAATTCAAATTCAACTATAAAGATTTCTACTTTCTCATCGGGCTTAATCACAAAATTAATATCTTGGCAATCAACTAAGTCAGAAGAGTATAAGTTTATTTTCTCCTCATTGATTGTCACATTTTTTGTTTAGTCCCGTTGTGATTAATTTGTCATTCTCTTCAAGTTCTTTTTCTATGATTGACTCATCTTCATATGGAATGATTGGTCCGCCATCGAACTCCACGGGCAATGTACATTCTCGTTCAAAAATGGAGGACCATCTCTCGAAAATTTGATGTCCTCGTCCCAATCGTCAAATATATATAATTTCCACGAGCATGTAACTATCATCGAAATTGTCCAATGTTTGTTTTCTACATTTCAAATATTGCCTAAACTAAAGAAGTTTCAATATTGAGACATCGGTGCATGGATACAAGCATTGTTATGTGCAATGCTTCGCTTGACAAATTTCACATCTTGGGCCTCCAAGCATATTGTTATAGTCAATGTAGAGATTAGACATTGCAAACATGTAGTTACTTTACCAAAATTGGAATAATGCTACTATAGCTGAAAAGTATAATGAGAGATTACTAATACAAGATAGATTTAACATACGGGGGCAACCAAATATACAAAAAAAGATAAATAAATAAATAAATAATTGTTAAAGCTAAAATAAATTAAAGTAGTAATCAAAGTAAAAACATTCCCTGACAATGACGCTAAAAACCTGCTCGCTATAAAGTGCAAACCGCAAATGCACGGGAAGCATTCAAGTAATATAGTGGATTTTTTGAGTCAAAATTGTTGATCCCTCGAGGAATATTGACTTTCGATTACATAACTTTAGTCAATTTAATTTTAACAGTGGAAACAAATACACAATAAAATTTTATTTTGGAAAATAAGGAACACATAAATGAAAATGAAAGAAATACAATAGTAGATACATATCGAAATAAGCATTGTAACATTAAAAAAACAAATATTGAAATTAATTAAAATTGAGTTAAACTTCATCAATAAATTCCAACACAAAGATTCAGCACATGCTATATAAATGATAAAAAAGGAGAATATTTATAACAATACATTATAAGTATGGTAAAATAATGGAGAAAATACAAGTTTATATATAAAACCACTTTTTTTTTGATTTTTTGAAGATGAAAATTGATTGCTCTTAATGTACCCAGAGCTTTGCCAAATCATTTTATTGCTTCTTGTGCTCTGGGTTTTACCTCAAATTGTCAAGAAAAATGAAAGAGAAAATTAAGAAAAGAAAAATAAGAAGAAAAGAGGAAGAAGAAGATTGAATGATGAATAATGAGGAAAATTGACTGAATTCAACTTATAAAAGCCCTAGAAACGTGTCCTCAAAATTGTCCAAAAAGCCCCCAAAATCTAGCAAAAAGGGCCCCAGCTGGAAAGCAGCGTGCACGCGTGGGCATTGCGCTTTGCTCTCGGGTTAGTTTTTAAGTCTCCCGCGTGCGCAAGTTTTTTCTCCTTTCATGTCCTCCAACTTAGTCCTCCACTATTTGCATGCCTAATCCCACAATTTTGATCTTGTACAATTTGGTCCTCAAATTTTGACTTTCATTTCAATCATGCCCTCCAAAAAGATTCAAATAAGTTGATGTATCCCAAAATTTATAAATTCATACACATTGTTTGTCAATGGACCTCTAGACGGTTATAAGGCATGCATAGCAATATGAAAGTTAACTGTACCCTGTTACATATTTTCACTTTAGTATGCCCCTTTCTCATTTTATTAATGGATATTGCAACAAGCCATTAAAATGCAGATTTTAGTTTTATACAGAAACTAACTGTATGTGATGATTGGAAATCACAATTGGAAGTACATACCTACTGGTACATGAAAGTATGCAACTTTTCTTCTGTAAAACATATGCACGTTCATTTATATTGCCATTTAATATGCAAAACATATGAAATAATATTTTAATGTCCAGTCGCGCATAACTTGGTTTTGACAGCCAATTACATCATGCATATAAAATAAGAATAGATATGCAACCAAACCGGATGTAAATTATTTCACAAGCACAACAAGATGGTCATTATGAATTAAACACTTTCATGAAACATCACTTTGAAATATCGTGAAAGTTCATTCCTTTTCATTATCGTCCAAATTCTGTCAATCAAATGCCACCATAGTACGTAAGAAATGGAAGAGATGGTATAATCCAAGGTTACAGCAGATGACATAGATAATTAATTCCAAATTCAAGAAAAAATTAAGGTGTAAAAGAGTTAAATCGAAAACAGATTTCAGTTTAAATGAGAAAACAGAAGTATAATAAAGAACTCACTTAAAAATTCGTCTTAAGATTGTTATAAAAACTGTAACAGAGTGATTTATTTATTGCTAGAAATAATAAAAATAAACAAAACTAGAAAGAACATAAAATCGAAAGAATGGAATGCAAATGATCGAGGCAAGTTTGAACACTTTGTTCATAAGAAGAATTTGTCCACCACAAGTGCCGACGGTGGATTAACAACCGTCTTTCAAGATAAAACGATCAATTCTAATTCAAATCACAAGAAACGGCATATCGAACAATGCTTTGTACTCCTTTTTGTATGAAATGAAAAATAATTTTAATGCTGAAGTTTGGCTATAAATTTAATGTTAATGTATGCAATGATGCATGGAATTGAAGTGAATGAAACCATAATAGAGGGATCTAATTTATAGAGGTTGAATAGTTGTAGCCGGAAGACAGAACCCAAATACCAACTTGTTCACGAAAGTTGCACAGGTTCATCGATCACTCGCTGACCGATGCCTCACCGCTCAAGCGATTTTTTCAGAAACTCGATCGCTCGCTGCGTCCGATGTTATGTTTTTGAATTTTTGTTTAATTATTTCAAAAATCGTGTTTTATCAACCCAGCTACATTCTCTAATTTCTCATACATCCAGAAATAGTTTTTGCCTTCCAAATATACCAAACTCATCTATTCGATGAGTAAAACGTGTTCAATCTATTTCTCACCAAATTTGAATAGTAGGAATTACTGTTGCGTTTTTGCTATCGCAAGTGGATGATATCGTAACAAGTAATATAGTGGACCTTTGAGTCCGTATTATCATTCCCACAAGGATTATACTTTAGAACTTCATTAGATTTTTCTAACTCCTATTTGATGAAAGTAAACAAAGGTTTATGGTTTGATGTGATTTTTTTGAACTTAACAATTTAACTTAATTAAAATGCACACAAAGATTGGTTGAGATTTCAAATAATGGGTGGAAATTAGGGATGAACAATTTTACCTATTCCTAATTCAAGATTCAAGAACCTAATATAGTGTTCGATCGAAT